TATATATATAAAATTGATTAATAGTATTTCGAGTCAAAATGAGCCGAACTCGAACAAACAAATATTTGTTCGTGTTGTTCGTGTTCGGCTCGTTAACTTAGCGAATGAGCCAAACACGAGCTTCTTATCGAGCCGAACACAAGCTGTTCGCGAACAACGAGTTATTTTGACAGCCCTACACATAATATTCACTCCTCTAAATACATTCAACCAAACTTCTAATTTTGACAACATCATGAGAATTTTAAGTTCATGGCATAACATTGTATTACCTTATTGCATGTGTGAAAATTTCTGCCAAAAAAATACACTATTTTTTCCATCATTATGGATGAAAGCTTAAGAATAGTTTGCAAAATTTAGAATTGAATATTGTTAAATAAAAATGAATTATTGTTTAACTTGAATTGAAATCAGAGTAAAATTATGAGTCATAGTATTGATTCAATCCAAGCTTTAATCCAATTTCATGAAAAGCCTAAATTGATTCGAGTTAGCTCGTAATTATGTGTGCGTGCACGCGCGCTTGCGTGTGCATGTATTTAAGAAAAATTGGAAGTAGAATTTTTTTCTTAAAATGGTATATAAATTAATAACATGTTTAGGGGCACAATCTGTATGTTTAAAGTGTAAAAAAATATCAGACATGCGGGGCACATGCTCCAAACAACAACCTCTTTTCTTATATGTGTTAGACAAGCTGTGCTTATACATGCATATAAGATTGTCATAATTATATATGTAATTATGTAACATATTTTAAAATAAATCTAAAAAGATACATCAAACTGAATCAGGTCAAAGTTAGTTTACTTTTGTTTCTTCAAAGTGCCTAAAAATACCAACTTTTAGGGCTAAATTATTTTCTTGAATGGACTTTTATAACAACTTTTAGGGCACAATCTAAAAATACAACTTTTCTTGAATGGACTTAAATTGAGCTAAATTAAATTGAATGGACTTTTCTTGAATAAATTAACCAACTTTTATAACAACTTTTCTTGAATGGACTTAAATTGAGCTAAACTAGTACGAGGCTTTTTTTTCCAAAATAAATTTTATGACAATCTTTTTTGGGGAAAAAAAAACTTTCTTCAAGCTTAATTTAATTGAATTCCATTTGAGGGAAGCTGGTATTTTTATGGCACTTTATTTCATTTTTATAAGGTGTTAGACTACGCTAACATTGTTAATAAAAAATATAAGGATTAAATAGGATATGAATCACTATATAATGTTACGTCCTATATTGATAACTCATAAATCATGAAAACCATTAATTATATATATATATAT